ACATAGCTTCCCAAATGTTGACTGGTTTACTTGCTACCATTCCTGATTGGGCATTATATAGAGTATGACAATCATTGGGAATGCTATCTACTTCTACTGTCTATTTGTGATATGTGCTGTGCTTTTGAAGTCCAACCAGATGATCCAGCAAAACTTTCGTGGCTAGTCCACTCCTATCTTGAGTCATTTGCCTTCCTCTACTCTTCAACTTACTCTATCACACCTAAAATGCACTATATGACACACTTTTCTCAACAAATGATATTGTAAGTAAAATAATCATCCATCTCCATAATGCATAATACATGCATACTCTATGTATAAGTTTGGACCATTGCGTCACCATTGCTGTATGCGTTTTGAAGCAAAGAATGCACAAATAAAAGGTTTTGTGACTCACTGTTTCAAAAAAGTCCCTTTTTCTCTCTATTTGACACCAACAATGGCTTTGTTACCATTTAACAGTTAGACCCGGTGACCATAGATCAAACATTTTATACAATGGAGATGAATATTTAGGTAAGAATAAATAACATTATCATAATCTACAATATGTTATAGGAACTCAGTCTGTGCTTTGAGTACTCAGACAAAATACTACATTTAACTGGTCATGAATTTGAAAAAGGACTGTGGTAATTCAGTGAAACTTCATTATGTACATGTACGTGTGCTTAAATGTATGTACTCACTGACAATAGGTATCACTCTGTTACAGTTACAGGGTCCATTATAAAGCTGGAAGTGTCATAAGAATCTCATCCATTATTAGTTCTACTGTCACATATATGTATGGTGTAATATGTGAATTTATTGTTCATGAGGGAGAAAAGATGATAGTGGTAAAGTATTTAGAGAGAACATCATTCAACAAAGTCAATTGGGCCTGGTAGTGAGATGCCCTAATAGTGACATTCACCTTGTGTCATTCCAGTCACTCCACTGTGATGGAACATTACCACTCCTAACTAAAGAAGGAAAATATTATGTTATTGATAGGAACTATAATGTAAAAAAACTTATGGAGTTTGTTGTAAAATATATTGTCTATAGATCATGGTTGTAACCAGAAAATTTAATTCAAGAGGGAATGGGTGGACACTTCATAACTAATACTTAATGTGACAACTGACAACATCCGAAATAATTATGCTGTGCGTTAAACACTAGTTTCACCTATAAACACAAACAATACAGACACTCTTATAGACACAAACAATACTGATAGATACAAACAATACTAACACTCTTATAGACACAAACAATACTAACACTCATATATTTAATAAGCTAACCTGCTTTGTACAACTCAGTGAAAACAGTTGTCCCATCCATGTGTTACAGCATAACCAATCACGCTTAGATTTAAAGCACATGCATATACCTAGCAGTAAAAAATGGTAAAGAACAGAAAAAAAACAGAAAACTGACTTTAGTATGCATAAAATTAACAAAACGTGAACTATGGGAGTGGCTGTGAAAACTCGAAGCTAAGTGTGTTGAATTAGAAAGAGCACAGCTAGTGTGTTATATTTATAATCAAGCACATCTATTTGTCATATAACACATCCAAGTATGTAGCAAATAACACACCATTTTTTTGTGTGCATACCTGTACAAAATATCATATAATTGGGCGAAGCCCTTACTTACAAGAACTTAAACGTACGTCTGGGCGTGACTGGGAGGTGTGTTCTGGAGGTGGAGCCCCTCAATGTTTAACAATCTTTCTAGTAATTTTGATTCTTATATACATGTACAATGTTCTGTACTTTGTAATAGATTCTCCAACATTAGGGTACACTCTTAAATTAGGTCTTATTAAAATATTTCACACATGATGATGTGATCTGCAGATTATTAATTATAAACTCATGTACCTTTAGCTGTCTTAATAACTTTGCCAGGATGAAGGCACTTAGTTCACGCGTAAGAACCTCTGTGGCTACCAAATCCTAACACCACTTTTAGCTGTTATGTGATATACACCACTTATTGAAATAGCTCGGACATGAAGCGTACAACTATCATTCGTCCAAACAAATACTCCAAAAACAACTCTTTATATGTACATAAATATGTAAATAAAGTTAGTAGAATACCTGTTGATTTATGAGATATTAACAAAATCTTGTGTGGGTTGCGTAATGGTATTTATTGGTGGAAGCTGTTTACCAAACCAAACAGCAGCTAATATCATGTTCTCTGGTTAAATTCTATATCAATGTACAGTAGTGCATCCAATAAAGCCAGAGTCCCCAGGGGGATTTGTTGAACCTACCCTAGACTAAGGAAATTTTTACCCTAGATTACCCTAGAACCAATTTCTTCAAATTTCCCTAGATTTACCCTCAGACCCTTCATCAAAAATTCCTAGAAATTACCTTGAACCCCTGCCCCCACCTTTCACCACACCCAATTTATGAAACCAAAAATGATGATTTTTGATTAAATTCATTAGTTTAGAAGTGATGAATTTCAGTAAATTGCTATGAATATCATTAAAATAGTAAAAATCAGAATTACCCTAGATTTTGTGCTTTTAAAAATTACCTACCCTAGGCCCTAAATGAGCATCAAGTACCCTAGATCTAGGGTAAAATCCCTAGCATTGGAGACACTGAATAAAGCTAATGTAAATGTACCTCATACTAGGTTGCATTTCAGTAATTTGCAAAAAGATGGGCCATACGTCTTTACCGGAGGAGTCCATCTGTATTATGCTTTAAGGAAGTGTTGTTTCTATTAGAAAGAATGCCTTGAAAAAATTGTTCGTAGACAACACCATCATAAATGTCTTCGATGTTTTCTGCATGCCGCTTCTGTCTACTACTACACCTGTATTCCAAAGCATTATAGAAATCCTTTCCTATGTACAACACATTCATTATATAATGATTACAATATTTGAAAAACTTTTAAATAATGACAAAATTTGATCTGCAATTGGTAATATTGTTAACGACTGCAGTTTGCTTGTGTTTTGACATGTAGGACAAATAGAGATGCTTGTGTCAGCAACATAATCGTAACAGATGGTACAATAGAAATGCGACTTGTGTGTCACAATACAAGACTGTTTGATGTACTTTCGAAAGCACGAAAGTGATGTAGGAATAGAATTAGGATAAGAAAGGAATTCTTTATCAGACTAAGTAGGTAAGAAGTAGCCACATAGGAAAGACAATGACGCATCGAAAACATTAAAATCATTACTATAGCCTTGTCAGAGCTACATGACACTAAATATAGTGGTGGTAAGTTTGAGTCTCCAGTCTGACCTCTTGCCTCGCTATCATTGATACTTAACTCTCCTGCCTTGCTTTCATCAATACTTAAATCTCCTGTCTCACAATCATTGATACTTCAGTCTCTTGCTTCGCTATCGTCAATAATTAAGTCTGCTGCCTCGCTATCATCAATAATCAAGTCTCCTGCCTCGCTATCATCAATACTCAATTCTTCTGCTTTGCTATCATCAATACTCATGTCTCCTGCCTCGCTATATAAAGCTTCATTAGAATCCAAATCTATATCAATTAGACTAGCAGTAATAATTAAGATTGGACACGCAGTCAATACCTGAACAATGAATCATCTAAATCATTATGAGACGTATTAGCAACTATAATTTACCAATTTAATTTTAAACGTTTAAGCTCCCAGAAGTCTTGGAGCCATATATTTTTAATAGTTAGTAAAATAAATCAAACCCCAATAACATTGATAATTATGACATGACATGTGAATGATCAAATGAAAACAAACCTGTACTGGATTCAAAATTTGTCACTCAATTCCTTCCTTGATGTACCATAAAAAGTACTTTTGGCATGTTATTTAATGGATTTGACATTTCTAAGGTAACTTGTGTTTGGTCCCCTGATCATTGTCTCCACAGCTAATCTGGAATTCAAGTAAGCTGGTCGAGAAAAGCAAAGGACTTCACTTACAATTACCTATAAAGCATAAGGCACCAAATAGGTGGTATCATTTTTATTAGTTGCATAGTAAAGCCATGCAGTTTTTGTACACGCATGCGCATCAGCATGCAGCTGGCAGCTGCACTGCAGTCTGCACTTTTGGACGAAGAGACTGGTTTTTTGAGTTCTTTTCTATTTCTTTTTGAGCCAGAAGTCTTTTTTTACTTTCAGTTATGGCGAGAAATAGATAAAAAAGAATGAACGTTGATACATGTTCTATTTTTAATTTAATTGTTAGATCTCTAAGATGTTTACAACATGGTGAAGTATGTTGAAGACAGCGTGTTAAGCCTAAAGCTAGAGCGAGATTGGGAATGTATAGATATTCCAGATGACGGTAGGATATCATTTATGATTGGAGATATGTCTCTGACACTGTGGGAAGATAGAGAAAAATATGAAGCTGAAGTTATTGATGTGGGACGTAAGTGAACACATAATGCAGCTGCATGAGTGCCGCCATGTTGCAGGTACATGTTATTGCTTTATATTTATTAGGGCGAAGTATATTTTGCAAGGGAGGTTGAAAGATAATAAGCAGAAGCACAAGTAATTGTTAAATTATCATAATTGTAATAATAGTAAAACCTAAACTACCAAAAACTTACTGTAGCAAACTTAATTTTAACAACATGTCATTCAGATAATAATAATTTAATAGCCAGACCCAAATGTAAAACAGATTTAATTTGTGTAAATTCTAAAAAAATAATATGTGCTAATGATACAATTTATATACATGCCTAAACCATATTTTTATGGCTAAAATACAGATCCTATTAAGCTTTGTCAAAAGAAACAAGAAATGAATTTGGTTAGTAATACAATTCATTTATTGTCAGGTAACATTTATGTAGACATGCTACTTCCTCTTGCAGATGAAGCATTAACAAATGACAATTTGGTTTACTGCAGCACTGCTAAAAGTGTTTCCCACAGGTAAACTTTCAGTAATTTATTAATTTATTTATATTTTTTATTTGACAGGGCAAATAGTAAAAATAACATCTCTAACAACGCTGATGAGCGGTCAACTTTTAGCACTCCAAAAAGTGAGGTTTCATTAATTATAATTATTGGACGGTTTTAATATTAATTTAATTTGAAATAGCTACTAGAAGGAGCTTGAACTATGATGATGATACAGACGGAGAGTATGATACACTTCCAATAAGTATGATAATTATTACATCACTTGTTGAAGCGACTGTTAGGATATTACTTTATTTCTTATTATCTTTTTATAATTTTTAATGTCTCTTAACAGTTTTGAATCCATCACTGAGTGGAAGCGACTGTTTAGATATTACTTTATTTTTTATAATTTTATATCATTTTTTGTATCCCTGACAGTTTTGAATACATCACTGAGTGGAAGATCTATTAGGGTATTACTTTATTTTTTAAAATTTTTTATCATTGGTTGTGTCCTTGGCTGTTTTGAATCCATCACTGAGTGGAAGCGACAGTTAGGATTATTACTTCATTTTTTAATAATTTTTGTCTCAACAGTTTTGAATCCATCACTGAGTGAAAGTGACTGTTAGGATATTACTTTATTTTTGTAACTTATCATTTTTGTGTCCTTCACAGTTTTCAAAACATCACTGAGTGGAAGTGACTGTTATGATATTCATTTTTTATAATTTTTAAATATTTTTTGTGTCCTTGACTGTTTGAAATCCATCACTGAGTGGAAGCAACCGTTAGGTGTTACTTTTTTTATAATTTTTAATGTGTCCTTGACAGTTTTAGAAATGTACACATAATTGACTTTTTCTGATAATATCATTTATACTTTTAGAAAAAATTCGTGGTAATGAGGAAGAATTAGAAAAAGTTAGATGAAGTGAATGAATGCATGAACCATCCATCCCTCTTTCACTGTTATAGTGGTTAGGAAATTACAGAAAACTGAAAGAAAAATACAAAAAGATCAAAAATAAATTGAAAGAAACACCAATGAATGGAGGTATTTTCTTATCAGACATAAATTTTATTGTTCTTTAATTTAGAAAGAGATACACCTGAACTGGGAATTTTATCACCTGACATAGCTGAAAAGTTTCAGGTAATTTTATTTAAATACGGTACTAAATTTTCCATAATTTTTTATAAATGAAAGAGATTATTTTAGTGTCTTTGGTTTACAGGACGGATGCATGAAACTTTAGTCAAAGGAGCAGCATCAAATGGCACTCAACTTGCTCTAGCTCTTGCAGAAAGCAATGCTAAAGGTGGTGGCTCTGGAAAATATGTAGCGTTGAATAAAAAAAAGGTGGACTGCATTACAGGTACAGATACATTGCAATTAACAATCCAGTAATGTAATTTTTGACAAATATAGCATATGTTAAGAGGACTTACCCAGACACGAAGCCATCTGCTATTAATAAAGCAATCAATGATAAGTGCACAGCAGTTCGACATGCCTGGTAAGTGAAATCATATATATATATAATTACTATTACTTTTATGTCAATACTTTATAGTTCAAAAGCTGGTATCATTGCGAAGAAGATATAGATCTGACTAAAGGATAAAGAAAACCTATAAAGATATATAATATAAAGATATAGAAGCTATAATATAAAGAGAAACTATAAAGACAGAATTATTGAAAGCATAAATTTTTATTTAGATTAAAGTTATTTTTGTGTAACATAACTATAACAGAAGCATGTATGCTGCAGTACAATACCTGCAAAATACATTTTACATAGTCCGAAAATCATACAAGTTCTTTACGTATGCAAAAGGTGTGTCCAAATATATGTGGCATATATATGCCACATTTTTCTTGTACCTGGGAGAATGCCAACGTGTCTGTAAGTCATATACAAAGTACTAACAACAGTACTGTCAGTAGCAATAAACGTAAAAGTAATGATTTACAGAAGTCTAATTGCCCTAAAAAGAGTAAAATATGCGATGATTATGCTTTGAATCAGCCTCACCCCAAAAGAAAATTTGATGTTGACAGTAGTACTGACAATAGTGCTTTGGCATAGCCTCACACAAAAACAGATGATCAATTAATTGTTTCAATTAATTTAAAAGACATAAAAACTAAATCTAATGTCAAAGATGATGATAGTTGTAGTAGTCTCATTGTATCTATAAAACTCCCAAACATTAAATGTAAATGAAAAGATGATAAAACCAAGTGTTTTGTAAAAAATGACCATTGTAGTAGTAGTCTGATTGTATCTATAAAACTCTCTAGCTTTTAATAAAAGACAAGTAATCCAAAAAAGATGATGTCATCTTTACTTATGAAGAGCCTCCCAACCAAGATATTGTGGGAAGGAGACAATGGGATTATGTGTATTACCCTGGTAATGAAGGATTTCAAAGAAGGTGGTGAGATTTTAAACCTTAAGTTTCTAACTGCTGTTAAAATATTTCCTGGTAGTCCAAATACACCATTGTCAGATAAAAGTGTTCCTAATAGTACTCTTGATGTCCCTGCTGATGGGAGCTGTTTATTTAATGCCATTTCATGTCTCATTACTTGGTCATTTTCTCAGCATTACGAATGACATAATGCAATTGTTAGTAATATTTGACCATAATTGACAAAAGGTACCTTATGGCAGATTTTAAAATTCATCATTATAATGAAAAATATCAACCTGTGACTGCTCTGTTGGACATTTATTGTGTTTATAAGTTACACAGTAAATTTTTGCATCATGTGGAGTAATTTTATGATAAATAGAGGTCAGGAAGTTGGATTTTCTTGGCTATAAAGACGAATTTCACTACCCGCCATAAGGTACCTTTTGTCAATTATGGTCACATATGCCAAACTTTGAAGAAGAATTGTTTAATAGTACATTAAGTGCAACCAGATATTCAAGCATATCTGATTACATAAATAAGTCCAAAATGTATACAAGTTATGTGTGGGCCACTGACACAGAGATTATTACACTAACAGCAATGTTAGGTATATCCATATATTAACTCCTACTTATGTTGGCTAGGCTAGATATGGAAGCCAAACTTTATATGGCATTCCTTGTAATACTTATACACCTGCTTTTTATTTCAAGCATGTTGGTGCTAATCATTTCCAAGCATTTAAGTCTATTAATATTTCTTAAGCATTGATTGTTGACGGAAAGTGGGTATGGCAAAACGGAGGTCCATCATCTTAATGACATTGTTTGTTTACTGTGACTTGTATTTCACTGCATGTGCAATGTGATTGATGTGTGTGTGTGTGTGAAAACCATTGGTGCATATATAACCTGTATTGCTCAGTATCAAGGGATCAAACTGCATTCTGGATGTGAGATTAATCAATGTATAGCAGTGAATATTGATTATATTTCAGAAGGCTCAGTCTCACATATCAATGGTGTTTGGCCTAGTTTTCTAAATTTCAGTTAGTTTGTAGTAATAATTAGAAAGTTTACGGTACCTCGCTCCACCTATGGGTGGGGCTCTTACTTCCTATATAAGCCCTGACCAGGTGAGACCACATTGGCCTTTTTTCAAACTCCAGAGAAAGGAATTTCACAACTAATAGTTATAAGATGGCTACTTCAGAAGATACTTCCAGCAGCCAGAGTGCTGCTGCTGATAAGATAATTGCTTAACTTGAGAAGATGGAAACTTCCATTGGAGAGGAGTTACAGAGTATCTCCAAGAGGGTCAAATGCCTGGAAGAGCAGGCACCTCACCCACCCATTAGAAGGGCAACAGAGTCGTCCTCATCTCTTTGGGCGGACAGGGCCACGTCAGGCTTAGAAAGCCTAACAGACGTCTCCTGGCCAGTGTGAGATGACGAGGAGGAACAGGGAGATCCATCAGAGACGGAGAACCTTGGTCAAGTCCCTATCCAGCTCTCAGAGGAGAACACACAGCTGGTCACCTCCTCCTTTAGGGAAGCGCTGTCCTCCGACAGCCGTAAGAGGCTTAGGTGTGCCTTCCCTTGCCATAGCCTTCAGGACACCCTGTGTCCAAAGTTAGACTCGATCTTCAAAGGGGCATCC